GAGTCTGAAATATCTACCAGGGGTCCTCTTCGACCGGAGCCTGACCACCCGGACTGGCTCCAGTCGAAGGGGACCCCTGGCACTGACTCCAGCGTGGAGGCAGTCATATCAGTTCTCTGGCGTACTCTCGACCAGCTAGTACGGAAGAGTCAACAGACTGTCCAACACTGTGGATCTACCATCCGGCTGGAGGCTGTGCGGACACAAGCCAATGAACTACCGCATCGTGCGCTGCTGGGATATATGGATGCACAAAGCATCCGCAAGCACGTGATCCCATGGCAGCAGATGCTTGCCTTCTTTGCACGAACCCAACAGCCACATGGATGGCGTAGCCCACCCTATGCGTTCACTGCCCGACAGCAGGATAAATGGACGCGGCTGTGGCGGGCTGTACAGACCTCTAATAGCGCACCCACTGCTGGTAGTAGTGGTGGTCATAATAATGACGCCACCCATGGGGAGGACCCCCTGGCGCCATGGCTGATGAGTCTACAGGAACAGACCTGTCTTGAATTCTGTGTTGAACTGCTTAATCAACGCTACCGCAGTAACGAGTATGAGAGTGCCCTTGTCTGTGCGATGGCCGTCCTTGGCCGTGGAGAGAGTGGATGGCGGAGTCCAGAAACCTACCCGCCGATCCTGTCGAGTGTAATCAAGCTCGCCCGGTTCTTCGTTGTACAGAAGGCACTGTGGCTTGACCCGGCAGCGCGACAGATCATTGCGGTCTGGCAGCACCAGCAGGATGGCACCCCGTGGGCCCTAGTCAGCGCCGACGAGGACCTGGCAGACCTTGCTACCGGCGTAGACTGTGATCAGTATGACAGCCGGTCCAGTCCCGGTGTCTTCTCTCAGCAGTCTGATCCTATCTCCAGTCCTGCCTTTGGTACTCCAGTCCATGCTACGCGGCAGTCTACTCCATCCACCATGCGTTCCCCACCGGGCGGCACCTTCCCCGAGCACGTTGAGTCCATGGTGCGAAAGTTCATGATCCGGGGAACGCACGGGCCTATGCAGACCCTTCTCGACTGGCGCACCTATGGACTGCGGGTACACTACAACACCAGTACGCCCGGGCACATCGCATGGCTGGGGAGCGATGAGGTCCTGTATAAGGATGTACAGTTCACCATGGGCCGCCTGCGGAGCTTTCTACACGGCCTGGTAGATACGACCAAAAGCATTCTACTGCAACTGCTATTTACGGAGGACCCCCCTGCCATCCCATGGCAACGCCTCTATGACGACCCGCACTGTACCTCCCTTGGCTGGAGCTTTCTGCAGGACCGGCGCACCGCGTGGCCCGTGGTGGGGCGTCACTGGCTCATTACACGGGTACGGGAGGAAGTAGCGCTCCAGCGCGAGTTTATCCGGATCCACGGCTTCTACCCCTCTAAGGTGACCGCGTACCTTGCTCGGGTGGTACGATTCAAAGAGAAACTGGCCGTGCTTATTCACATGACGGCCGGGCAGCCAGCACGCATCCCCGAGCTCCTCAGCCTGCAGCACATGAACACGGACACCAACCGCCGTCGCACTATCTACATTGAAGACGGTCTGGTGACCCTGGCCAGTGCATACCATAAGGGCTTCTACGCCAGTAATGATGTCAAGGTCATTCATCGCTACCTTCCCCAGGAGGTGGGTGAGCTGCTGGTCTACTATCTATGGCTGGTCCTGCCCTTCGTTCAGCAGCTGGAGATCGCCGTGTCGGCAGGACATCCGACAGGTGTGCATCCGGGCGATCCGGCCCGCAGGGACCGGGAGGGTGTGCCACCCACAACGGGACCATCTTACCTCTGGGGACCTGACCCGGGAACACAGCGAGCATGGGCCTCAGAGCGCTTCCGGACTGTGCTCCAGCGGGAGACTCAGGGTCGCCTGACCCGGACCGGGATCAACATTGTGGCGTACCGGGACATTGCCATCGGTATCAGTCGCCGCTTTCTCCGACCGACCAGCCACTTCATCCAAGATCGTGGGGCGGAGCCTGTCACCGGCACGGCAGCCATGGACCCTGACGACGAGGCCCACATGGATCCCGACCGGTGGATGGACCACATTGCGGACCTGCAGGCCGCCCATTCCTCCCACGTCGCCGGGATGGTGTATGGTAGGCAGGTCACCGAGGCGGCCGGCACCACGGCTCACCGACAGGCGCTCTTCCGGCTAAGTAGTACCGATTGGCACCATTTCCTCGGCTTTGCCTCTGCGGCTGGTTATTTGTCCGCAGGGCGCACCCCACAGGCGCCGGCGCCCTGGGAGCAGGCTGCGGCGGAGGACCAGGTGCTGCGGCGACAGCGCCTGAACACCACACAGATGACGGCGGCCCTCCAGCAGATGATGGGTGATCCTGGGGCACAGCTGCGTGGCGTGCAGGCGGAGGCCCTCCAGGCAATACAGGATGGCGAGAGCCCGGTGGTCACCGTCATGCGCACGGGCGGCGGCAAGAGCCTGCTGTTCATGCTCCCGGCCTTCCTGGAACCGGGCGGCACTACCATTGTCATTGTGCCGCTACTGAGCCTGCGGCAGGATCTGCGGCGACGCTGCCAGGCACTGGGCCTCGTGTGTGTGGAGTGGGAGAGTCGCAATCCTCCTGATGATGCCACCATCGTGCTGGTCACCCCGGAGTCCACCGAGCATAGCGTGTTCCATGCCTTCCTCAACCGACTCCGTGTGCAGCATCGCCTGGACCGCGTTGTGATCGACGAGTGCCACGTGGTCCTCCATAACCAGTCTGGCTTTCGGTCAGTGCTGCACCACCTCGGCCACCTGACACGGGTGCAGACCCAGTTCGTGTACCTGACGGCCACGCTGCCCCCCACCGAGGAGGAGCGCCTCTGCGAGCGCTTGGAGCAGCCGCGCGACGGCATGCGCCTCATCCGGGACCGCACCAGCCGGGCCAACATCGCATATGTCGTGTGGCGCCCAGTTCTGCCCCGCAAGACGCCTCCCGGGCCCCACGCGTGGCTGGAGTCCGAGACTGTGCTGGCGTACCTCCGCCGCGTGACCCGCCGGGCGCAGGGGGGCAAGGTCATCATTTACGCCAACCTGGTCAGCCAAGTTTCCGCCCTGGCCCGGTCCCTGGACTGCCCTGCCTACCACGGTAAACAGGTCGACCGACCGGGCCTTCTCCGGCGCTTTACCGAGGGCCACACCCCCGTCCTTGCGGCCACGAGCGCCCTCGGTATGGGCGTCGATGTGCCCGACATCCGATGCATTGTGCATGTGGGCTGGCCCCGGTCGCTCCTGGACTACGCACAGGAGAGTGGACGTGCCGGACGCGACGGGCAGCGCAGCCTGGCCATCATCATCCACCCGGCTGGGGAGGATCAGGTGCCGTCCTGGCTGGGGGCAGTGCCCGCGGTGGACGGGGAACGGGTCCGGGACTACCTCCAAGCGCCCTGCCGGCGTCGCGTGCTGGACCGCTACCTCGATGGGGCCTGGCACGGCCACCTGCGCGAGAGCTGTCAGGACTACCCCACTGACCTGCCATGCGACCGATGCCGCCTCCGCTCCACGGCCTCCCGGCCAGGCACACACGGCGGTCTGCAGGCCGTCCTTTCGACCGGAGCCAGCCAGGCCGTGTCCCCCGACGCGGTGGACAGGCCCCGGTCCCCCCGGTTGACCATACTCCCCTCCCAGGCAGCCACATCACGGTCACCATCAACCTCACCGTCGCCGTCGCCGTCGCTGACCCCCCCGGCACCAGCATTGCCCCGGGAACCGTCCCCCTTAGATCTGCCGCCCGTGCGTACGTGGGCGCGGCCATACCTCCACGCGCAGCAGCAGATTGTCCAGCGCCGCCTGACGGAGGAGGATGTTGCCGAGGAGGCGCCACAGTGGCAGGAGCACTGCTACATCTGCACCATGAATGGCGGGGACGGGCAGTCACACGCCCTTTATTTCTGCCCGCAGCGATGGAGCCGTCGGGCGCGGGAGTGGATGCTCTTCATGCGGAACCGCATCCAATATCCACGCTATCGGCAGTGTTACCAGTGCGGTATGCCACAGAATATCTGCGCTGGCTGGCAGGAAGGGGAGCCCTGTAACTACCGGGGTATCCTGTTGCCCATGGTGGCTATGATGTTGTATGGACCGTGGGTCGACTCAGTTGAGAGGCCCTGGGCGCAGCGACTTGCCTCGCAGAATATCGACCACACCGACTGGCAGGCGGTATGTGGCTACCTTGGCCAACCTGGCCTGCCAGGCCACAACCGCCTCTTCGACGAGTACTGCTGGCTCCGTGGGGTATGCCGGGAGCTCGAGGGTCCCACGCGGGCGCCAAGAATACACAGTGGGAAAGGGCAGATCCAGCCAGGCCGCTGACCGAGGGACACCCTACATCAGCCAGCCAGTTAGTCATTATCACCATTATAGCTAGTACTACTAGAGGAGGAAGCCAAGGGGCCCTCTTCGACCAGAGCCAGGAGTAGATGGCTGGCTCCGGTCGAAGAGGGCCCCCATTAGAACAGTAATCAGTTTATTTCAGGTAAAACCCTGTTATTGGTTCTGATTATAAAAGGAAATGTTGTCCTACTACACTGAACACATAGGCTTCTCATGCTCAAGATTAGTTGTTAGCTCGAGCCTCCCCACAGCCTCCTGAGCATGGAATCCGCAACTAAGGATCCATCTCCAGGGGCCTGCTGTAACTCCTCGCAGCGTGTTATGAAGGACAGGAAAGAGGTTGTTATCAGTTCAGATGGTGAGGATACAGATTTATTCAGATTATTTGAGTCACCAGAAGATCTTCTTGCGAGGTTTGCTAAGCTACCTGGCTTTGTAGGCAAGGAAGGCAGAGAGCGTGATACATCTAATCTAGGAATGACCGTGCGAAATGGCTCCGAGAACAGTATAAAATCAGATAAACGGTCCTTTTCTACTGGAGCCATCCATCTAATTCAATCCTTTAACCAGCAGTAGCCGTATACAAATAAATATATTCTACCCACAGTCACTGCCTACCGCACGATCCCCCATCAATAAAGGAGCAGCTAAATTATTACATAGAAATATACTATTTCTTTGTAATACTCTCCCAGGTAATGTCTCTTTCTAATTTAATTAAGGCAGTGAACTCTTACAGCGCAGTGCATGAATCATGGGAATAGCCTCTTACCCAGTGAAAATATCATATGAATTATATCTACATTAACAGTAGCTATCCTCATAGACTAGTATTTAAAGAATCAGATTACCCTCCCATTCTATTCTTCCTTTTATCTATTTTCTATATACCGTCTCCCTATTCATTCTC